TCTTGTAGCACTTAGCAAAAATGGATAGATGTACTACTTATTCTTCAAGGAATTCCATATCATATCTTCTGAAGACTAAGGAAATTCACATTCAGATCAAATGAAGCCGTGATTTTGTCTTTTGGTGACATCATTCAAAGAATATTTAAATGATATGTATCAAAAGAAAATTGATATGGGATTAAAATGACTGTGTAGATTTGCAAACATTTTCAGTCGGCTCATCCGAAACCTACTTCTGAAATATCAGTTCACTAATAATCCAGATAATATAGTCATTGGTACTGGAGGATGATTAGGTCAAAGCTGGACTCAAATCAGCCATCTCCATGCTAACTCTGCTCAAAGAAGGGGAATCTACGAAGCATTCACTAATCCGGTAAATCATTCAGAGGGATCAAGATAATATTCACAAAGAACTGTAGACAGTCATCAAGATGACTGTGAGATATCTCAGATAAGTTAGTAAATTTATATCACAGGATCTTTTTGATCTGATACGTACAGAAAGTGTATTTTACGTGTATGATGCGAACTTCTGTCATAGTTGTATTTACATTGATTGGTTACTGGAGAGTTACCAGTCTCATGTTGTTTAATCCAATATACGGATGAAATTCAATCGATTATTTTACCGTGGGATCACTAGGCTAGCAGACTTATCATAACAGTGCACTTTGATTGATTTTTGACGGTTGGGGATAGCTGATAGGAAGCCTTTGGCCTAAGTATCATGCCTATCTGAACTGATTACCAAGGTGTACCTGCAACTTCGAAATAAGTGATGCCCCCTTTGGATTCGAAACCGTCATTCAGTGTTACAGTCAGTGATATATTTGAACTGCAACTAACGTTTTGTAGGAATGAATTAAATATATTGGTTGGTCACTGTACCCCGTTGAAACAGGCATTCAAGTTTCACCTAGTGGGTCATGTTTTCGGACCTACTTCTATTAGTCAAGGTTCGCGTTCCAGTTGAAATGCTTAGTCTTATGGCACACGTGCATGTTATAGCCTGGTATCCAAGTCTGCTTACAGTTTCTGAGTAGCACGACAGTACTGATTTAATATCATTTTAATTTTGTAACTGAGAAGCAGAGATTGATCTATACGGTAATGGAAATTATTCAGGACGTACGACGATATGTATAATTAGAAAACAGTACAGAAATGGAAATAAAGCTAATCAACATAGTTAAGCATAACGCAATTAAGGCGTAAATTATAATGTGAAAAATGCAAATAGGAAGTGAAATTGTCAAGTGTGTAAGTTAGTAACAGACGGAGAAGCTTTCTTTTTTATTCATATTTCTTATAGTGACGCTATGTACTGCAGGAGAATCTTCAAACATTCAATTTAAGCGACAGGTTAAGAAGTACTTGACTAGTACGTTTGACAAAATCAAGGTGTCATGCATTTTTCCAAACAATATACGCCAGTTAATTAAACTACCTGAGGTAGTAGTGGTTTTGAGATGATGGAGAATATTTGTAGCTCAGCAGAATGATTATGATAGTGTTGTTTTCTGTGAGTTTTCGTTGTCATTCTAGACAACATCAGCACAAACTTCAGAAAGTACTGAGCCATAAGGTTTTCTCCACAGTTTACTTAGTAGCTTGACCTGATGATCTTGTGTGTGATTGGTTGTTTCTACCAAGGTCCTGTCACTGTCTCCATATTTATTTTGATTAGTTGTCCTACTGACATGAAATCTGACCTTCTCGTTGTTTCTTATTAGTTGATAAATTGGGTCAGTGTCAATATATCTGTTGATTGTTGACTGACCTGAATACTAAGCTTCTAAAAATTCTGCGGAATTGTTCGTATTTCCTCTATCCAGAATTTCCACATTATGATAGGTTGTTTCTGCCAAAGTTTTGAAAATCCTTCACTTAACCCTAATAAACAAATGATTATTCCCACAGTGATTCCGATTGATAGTCAATCTAAACCTAATAGCTGGTGAATCACATCGATCAGTAGACCTTTTTTATAGTAAAGGACAAATCGCTTTAAAAATATGAAGTTATTTATTCGTTTGAATCTCATAGTGTTCACTTGACATATTCATTTATGAAAGTGTTGCTGTAAAATATGCTTCTTGTTGTGTTGAAGTTATTCGCCTTCACTGAGAGATCACTGGAGGTCAATCTTTACTTAACAAAAACAGTTTCTTATTTCAACAGAAGTTTCCACATCCTCTTTTATTTGTGGAGCATGAGTGTAAGATTAAGGTTATTTCTGTGCAATTCATCTGTAACGAAATGCTTGTGCATGAAATATCACTTAAATAAAACTGAGAGGTAAACAAGACCAAAAGTGGTATGCTCCAACCGTCACAAGTCAGTACTGTAACCTGAAACTTATCTGACAACCGTTACATTACTAAAGATAGTTCTTACGACAGGGAACGAAAGTACATAATTTGAGATTAGATTTGTTCAAATGCAAGCCAGTTTCATTACTATACTATACTATACTAAAGTATGCTAAAAATTAGTTCTTTGAGTTATATGTAACCGATGGTTTTAATGTATCTCATATCTCGAACTGTATATGATAGTTGTGCGGTTGGCAGACTCTACTGTATGACTATTAAACATGGCCATTAAAAGCGAAGTAAGTGAGAAAGTATCAGATGTTAGACTACCGTCGCCTTCGCAGCATGAGTCGTGTATCGTGCTGTCACCATGTTAGCAACGTGGAAGAGGAAAGTTAATCGATTGGGTGAACGCCCATTGATTGGGGTTGTTGGGACATGTGTTACGACTACCTATTCGCCACAGGCCTCATCAGACAATATAAGCTGAAGCAGAGATTGGAAAAGGGTTACAAATAGTAGGACTAACTCATTATCAGTCCATGAAGTCTTTCCCCGTTGATGTGAACCATGTAGGGTAAACGTCGATATCTCGGTTAGGATCCGCGTTACAACAGAAACCAGTGGTTGCAGACATGGCTCAGAATCGACCTCAATGGCACTGACGTATTCATACATTATCTTCATTTTATTTGTCATACTGAATTTCAGTATTCTGTTAGTACTCCTCCCCTTCTTTCATAACTTTCTGCCACTTCTGATGGCTTTCTTTATTGTTTCTTTTTCCTTCATCTTATTGCCTTTTTACTTGATGTGCTGATATGAATCTTAGCAACCTGAGCCGTTACGCAGTAATGCCTGATCCTGTATGGTTGGTAGACTGATTTCAGTGTGCGGAGATACTAAGTGAAGTTGACGAAAAACTTATAAGGCTGCTAGTTCAAATTTTTACTGCGGCTTAGGATTTTCTCAACTGTAATTAAAGTAGCTTGTGCTTTCTATATTAAGTGTATGTGATATGGCACATATGGAAGTATTATCATCAATTGGATGACATTTAGAGCAAAATTTATTCCTCTTAATCATATCAAGGTGACTGATCATACAACTTCCGATATACGTATGCAATGCAATAATTGAGTGGCATAATGGGGTACAATGGGGTAGCAAGTGACGACAATCCTAAATGTCCATTTAGTTCGATGGAGAAAGATTGATCACCGAATCCTAGTTCACATAATCAACACCAGTTATGCAACACTTATGCCAGACATACGAAAAATCTTATCATTATTAAACTGAAAGAGGTTGATGAGTCGCAGAAATGCATAAACCAGATTTCAGAAGTATTTTTTGGTTGACCGACTTTAAAGACCACTCTAACAACAACTAGAATGATTACTTAGACTTCTTTGTTTTATGAAAACATGCCTTTACAGCCAAAATAGAAAAGCTTACTTGGCTGTTCTGTGTGAGTAACTTTATATGGTTTGGTGAAGTAGTTTGTGGTCGAGATGTCATTTAGTAAACTTGTCCAATGCGGAGTTATGCTCTGCCACAATGTCCGAATCCTAATTTTACATCGAAATTCTATTTTATTGTATGATTTTGTACAAGAATACCGTGTCAGTGGGGTAATATATTAGGAAAAGGTCATTTTAATCTTGTTTAACTATCGATGTTTTTAAAACAATGGCACAGTGGACCAGCTAAAGGAAAAAGTTATGAATAACTTTAAAGGCCATCCTAACAACTATTAGAATAACCAATAAGGGTTCTACATTGTTTGAAAAGACCAACTACCTTTCCCTCCTAAATGAAGAATGTTAGTTGGTCATTTCAGTCATTGTTAGGATAGCTTTTCGAGACACTAAAAAACTGTTCATAGTTGTGCAATTGAAATGTTTAAGAAATGAGGATAACTGATACACTATTAACTCCTCTGAGAATGTTATCCTTCTCTTTCCATCCAGTCAGGTTTTCAACTGCACTTCACTTGAACTAAAGTGAACTAACTATATAGCTAGTAATGCTAGTTTTTAGCAGTTTTAGAATGATTCCATTCAATGACTAGTTTTAGTTACGTACGGCATACAGACTGGTAATGATGAAATGATGATTGACAAGTATTTGCATTTCCGAGGAACAAACAATATCTTCGATTAAACAGTGACTGTAATTACCAACACTTGTTCGTAGTTGATTTCTTCTTTAAAAGGTACATTTCTAACTAGAGAATGGTAAAAAGGGGCTAAATTAACTAAACAGTCCTATCATAAGTTGTTTCAAAGATAAAATGATGAATTCCATTGATAGGAAATGTTCCGTCACTACATGATCCGAAAAAGATGTTTATTTAACAGAACTGTTTAAAAAACGCTGTTAAAAGTCTTTTTTTAAATTTGGATTAGGTTATAACCAGCTTAAATTCATCCTAAGATTGTTATACGTCACCATCTCAGATATATATGAAAGTGATAACCGAAAAATAAATTTGAATTTCGCTATGCAGTCAAACAGAACGTTTGAGATGCTCATGTTCAAAGTTAAATGCTTTTCGAGGTTCAGCATGACTGTAGACACTGTTATGAATTTAAGTTGTTAGGACCTGTGATTTCTAGCGGTTTCTATATAACGCAGTATATTTTATGTTCACTTGTTTTTCGTTAAATTTTACAGGTTTGTTATTGTTGGATCAGTTCAATGATCAGTGCACGTTCTGAATGTTCAAACGAACTAAGCCAATTTCTAGAAACATTAGGTGCCTCTGGTGTAAGTGATAATCAAGTTGATGATGATCAAAATAACGGTGTTAATGATATCCGTAAATGTTTATTAGATAATGATTTACCAGTGGATGCCATCACAGATGATACACTTTTGTCGAATCCACTAAACTTTGATTCACCATGGCCTGCATCTCCTTCTCCTTCTGTAACTAATACTACAAGTACTTCAGATAGCTTTTTTGATAACTTCGACTGGATATCATCTACTGGGCTATATTTATGTCTTTTGCAACCTATAGACCGATGTATATCAACCTATGATTCGATAGTGAATCCAATAGACTCAGCTTTTAATGATACAATGTCTTATGCTTTTACTAATAATTATAACCGGAGTAATGACAAAAATAATGAACTTGTGGGAAGAAAGAAAATCTCCGGTACATCCCTTTCTAAACTAAGTATAGATGAAGAAAATTATGATGCTGACGAAAAAATGGATTGTTTACTTCCTTCGATACCATATGAAAGTATGACTTGTAGTCATACTGATGAAACATTACTTGGACCACCCAATATTGCCTTATCATCACCGTCACCCTCATCAGCTTCAGTAATATCTACTTCATCCGAAGAAAAAACTGATCATATACAACCAAATTTTATTCCTTGTCTTACATATTTGAATTATGCACTGAAGATTAAAGCAGTACAAGGAAAGTAAGTAAATTCTTTATTCATTTCAGCATTCAACTATGCTTTTCAAGTATATGTAATTTATAATGTGTAAATGTTGAGCTAAGTGATATGGACAATGGCCTACATTCAGTTGCAGGTAACTCCATTGGATTAGGACTCGACCTTGTTCTCTTTTGTTTGCTATTTCCTCAGGTTAGGTATGACTTATGTTAGGAAACTCTCTAAATTGTCCTTCATATTGAACAGATATAAATTATTTCAGTTGTAATATTTGCATATTTAATGAACACCGAATACATACAAGGCAATGATTAGTTGTGGTTAGTATTACCGTTAACATCCTGACATTTTAGTGTAAAAATTTGTTCAATAGTTATACAACTGACAGCCCATCTTAGAAAACAGAGTTCTTGAGCTTTGTCTGGCTTAAAGAAACTGCAGAAAAACATTTTAAGGGAATGGCAATCACTATTTCCATGTCGGAATACAATGTTTTCTCAAGAAAAGTTAAATTTTTCCTAAAACATTTCGAAATATCTTCAAGTACAACTGAAGTTTATTTAAGCCCATCAAAACATTTTTATTGGTAGTAAACGATGAAGATTATTATGTATGAGGCATACAGAACCTGCACCTCCTATATAACACCTCTTGAGACGAAAAGTCTTTTCTTAACGCATTATTTTTAAAAATAATAATTTCTAATTCTATCCATCATCAACTGATATTAACGCTCTATGATATCATATACAGTTGATAAAGGTACCAAATGAAAATGCCAGTATCTTACAATGTACTGGACTTCAAGAGTTTCGTTCCAAGGTGTTTTATTGAGCCAGTTCTGTTTATTTGTACTGTGAAAGATTGATCGGTCAATACAGAGGGACCTGGCAGTTTAGTCCTAAGTTGTGACCGAATTATGTACATTGTTAGTTTGCAATAAGAACACCGAGATAATAGACTCAGAGTCACAGTGAACTTTGAGACATATTTGTTGGGTGCAACAGAAAGGCTGAAAGCCCTCCACCTAGGTTTGTTGCCTGTTGAAACTTGTCAGCAAGGTGTACGGGAGTTCAGTCATAGCTTGAAACTTATCAACTACAGAGCTGGGTAATGCGGGTTTGGATCTATCAACGCACATCAGTTCCATGGGGTTGTAGATACGTCTTGCAGACGAGTTTCAACAAGCACGAAACTTAGGTGAATGGCTTCCTGTCAGTTGCCCCAACCAACTGACTACTGCAATATCTCCTCAGTTAACACCTTGACAGTCGATGGTCATATGTTCCTAGTATCTGGGTTACTTACAACTAGTGAATAATAGAGATAATTCAAGTGGATGATCCACTATGGACTTATATCAGTTGGAGGAACACTGGAAAACGGGGAGCACTCCACAGCTGTGATATGTAGCGACAAAAGGCAAGTAAAAGAGAAATTGTTTTCAAATCATGATCAGATCGTGATTTATGCATGCACTGACATGACAACCTGATTGGAGAAATTCGACGTCATACAACAAATCAGATTGGTTCATTTATGGCTTCATTTTCTGAGATTTTTGTATATGACTGTATATGACTGCAAGAACAACGACAACTTTATTAGACAAATGCATGAAGGTACTGACGGAGGTCAGTCGTAAAAGAATTCGGCTGAGGTATCTATTGAGTCTCAGTACCATTATAAACAAGCCCGTAATTCCAATGGGCCACAACAAGCTATTTCTTCTTAGTATGGCACTTCTCAGCAGTGCACACCTATGATCCTTCAGGGGCCTTCAGGTTCCATAGCCAGCAGGTTGTCATTTAGCCGTTGGATCCGATTCCACTGGTCCTATTCCCACTTTCTGTCAGTTCATGACATAGCGCGACCATCAGCCAATGTCATAGTTTACTATTTGTCCTCATGGCTACCAGATTTGACCCACCTGCCAGGACTTTTTACTAGAACTTCAGGAGTCACCAATGAGCACAAGATGAATTTAATTTGAAGGTTTGTGGGGATTAAGTGACTTTTCAAGTTGGTATTTTAACCTGACTGGTGAGGTAAACCTGATGGCCATGAGGACAAATACCCAATGATCACATTGGATGATAGTCATGCTGTCATGAAGTGACAGAATTCGGAGGTATGGACGATCGGATTCTGACTCATTGACTCAATTGTAACGTGCTATTTACGAACCTGAAGGTCTCTGGGAGGGTAATGGGTGTGAACTGCTAAGGAGTCTCATACTAGGACGAAACAGCTGTTCAGTACTCCCAAATTTTCACTGCTTCTCCAACTGCTGTCAGACCATGGTGAATACCGACTTGAAAAGTCACTAAATCCCGACAACCCCCCCCAAATTCAAGTGGGTGAGATTATAACAAAACGTTAGGAGCTGTAATTTTCACTGCATTATCTACTACTTTAACTGTTTTCAGAGCGATTAATGTTGTTTGTGTAATGACATGTAATCCCCTTGGGGTAATTTATCCATGCTGTAGTAATTAAAAAGATTTTGTCGCCTGTAGTGAAATGTTTAGCTGATTGACTACCAAGGTTCTGTAAATGATGAGGTAGATCTTTGATATAAAAAATTCAGAGGTAAGTATCAATCACCTCATGGTTGATTTGCTTACGTTTAGGTTTACGTATATTTCCTTTGAAGTAAATACAATATTAACCAGTAATCATTTCCTGTACATTATTTTACAGTTATAAGGAATGCTTTAATGGTGATGAACAAAGTGGTATAATTGGTCGTTCGTATCTAGATTTTATTCATCCTGATGACTTAAAACAGGTTACCAATGTTTTCGATACAAGTCAGTTTTCTATATTTGTTTCTTTCGTCGCAGAAAATTATTTACGCTTTTTGTTTTTCTTTAGTTGGTTCTCGTCTCTTTTTAGTACATCAATAAGATGTTTTTGGAAAAGTGGTACATTAGTGACTGGCTGTACATTAAGTTGCAGTAGAACAAATGATTGGCTCAGCCTATTGTAATAATAATAATTATTTATTATTTGCCTTTTGGGTTCCTAGTGGAACATACGGCTTCAGTAGCACGTCTCCATTCCACTCTGTTCTCTGCAGTCTTTTCAACCTGGCTCCACGACTGCCCACAAGCTCTCATTTCTTCCTCACACCATCTCCTCCATGTCACCCTCGCCTCCGACGCCCAACTCGCCGCTTCCCATCTAGTTTCCACTCGAGTGCCTGGCCTGGAACGTGATGTCCCCGAATGGTCTTCTCAGTGCATGCCCAATCCAATCCATCTCCACTTCCTTCTGCATACTTGTTGAGCGATACGTTCTCGCTTCGTTGGTTCGTTGCCAGCCAGTCAGAGTTCCTTGTTGCTTATTCTTTCTCGCCATCTGAGCTTCAGTATCGAGTCAGCGTAGGCAGTTGTTGATGAATGTCTGTAGTTTGTTGGTAATCCCTTTCGTAATGCGCCCAGTCTCTGAACCATATAGAAGCACTGACTTGACTGGTATTGGTGTTGGAAATCCGGATCTTGTTCACGCTTTATGCTGAGTGCAGAAGATTTCCACACTGGTTTCAGGTTAATGAACGCCTGTCTTGCTGTCCTTCCGATCCTGACTGGCTTTGACATCCTGGTCTGTGCCTGTGCCACTACCTGTAGTTGAAACGATGTTGCCCTGCCTAGATAGGTGAAAGAGGCTACTTCCTTTAAGTTTCTGCCGTTGATGGTGATTCGAGCTTCTTGTTGTTGTTGGTTGGGTATCTTCATCACCTCTGTCTTCTCTACGTTCACCTGAAGGAAGTCCCGTCTTCGCTGCCTAGCCTCTTCTGTCAACTTGTTGGTTTTCGCCTGTAGATCTTCGAGCTTGTGCCACAAGACACTAGACACATGTCACCGGCGAAATCTAAATCTTCTAGGGTCTTTTCCCGGTCCAGCCAGCGTATCCCCCTCTTCTCACTCCTCACTGTTTGCTGCATGATTCAGTAGACCACAATCAAGAAGACCGTCGGTGATAGTGGACAGCCTCGTCTTACTCCTTCCTGTCTTCACTTCAAAGGCATCACTGAGCTTCCCATTGTGAATTACTTGGCATGTGGCGTCTTCATATAGTTGTTGAATGAGGCTGATAAAGGTTTGTGGTATTCCGCAGTGTTGAAGCAGCTGCCTGCCAAATTACTTCTCCATCGACGCTTTCGAAGGTTTTTCCAAAGTGGATGAAGTTGAGGTGGAGGGTTGAACTGCCATTCCTCTATACTCTGTTCTATATTGATGCGAAGCGTAGCAATCTGGTCCGCATATGATTTGTAATTCCTGAAGCTATCCAGCCTGTTCCGGTCGTAGTTTCAATTCAGTGCATCCTTTAGTCTCTCCAGGATGATGCGGCCTAATATTTTGCTAGGTGTGGACAGAAGTGAAGTATGATTTCGCGCCAGTTCTTGTTACTGCAAAGACTTAGGTCGCCCTTCTTCAGGAGTTAAACAAGATAGCCCTTCTTCCATCCACCAAGTACCTTTCCTTCCTTCTTGCTAGCCTTCTGCAACAGTGGTGTGAGCATGTCCGCTGTTGCTCATGCATCTGCTCCCAGTGCCTCTGGTGGGATTCCACCTGGCCCTGCTACTTTCCCATATTTCAGTGGCTGTATGGCACTCAGGACTTCGACTTTGTTGGGGGATTTGTGTTCACTTGTGGTTCTGTGGCTGCAGGTGGTATTTCTGGACGAAGTGCAGTTGGTGGTCGATTCAAGAGTTTGCTGAAGTGGTCAGCCCATCGTTTCATTTGTTCCTCTTCTTTGGTAATTAGATTTCCTTCATGATCTTTTATTGGTTTCATCTATGTCGATCTCTTCCCAGATAGTAACCTGGTTATTTGATACAATGATGTCAGGTCTCTGTCTGTCTCTCCTACCAGCAGCCTGTTCTGCTTCACTTGCCAATGTCGTAGAAGTATCTGGCGTCTTTGCGCGCACTCTTCTTCACTTCTTTTACCAGTGAAGTGTTTTATAGGTTGTGTTCAGTTCCTCTTTTCGTTGTTCATCCCTGCACTGCACTGGTTCATCTTCTGCTTCACCATCTTCCTCTCCCTCCTCTATCAGCTTCCATGTGTCCGTCGACATCCCTTCCTTGTCCTGTTTTTCCTTCATTCCTAATACGATTATGCAGGTTTCCTCCCACGTCGCTTCCAAAGGGTTCCAGTGTTCTTCCACGGAGGTTTCTTTGGGGATGTTGCTCGATGTCTCCCATTTTGTCCTGATGACTGACTGACGTGAAGATGCCCTTTGCAGTTTTGTCCTTCAGTTCAGTTTCTGTTCTTCGTGTTCAACTTGAACTGTGGTCGTCTATCACAAGCTTCTGTGAAGGCCTCCAAATTGATTTTGAAAGTAGATCCCTTGCACTAGATAGTGAGTGGTGTGAATCTACCTACAGCTGCTCCCCTTCTTCATCTGATCTTGTGTCCAGTGGGCTGGCTGCGTCTCCACTTTCTTCACATTGAGATGAAGTCGATGTGATTTTTAGTGTAGTGTGTCCACCTGGTGAAATCAAATCCGTGTTGCTCGCTTTGTGAATATCCTTGTGTTTGTACACACTGCCTCCAATCAGCGAATCGTTGAGTGCGCAGAAATCTGGAAACAGTTCTCGATTGTCGTTCATCATTTCACCGAGTGCTTCTTGACCCATGATGGATGAGTTCTCTTCCTACGTTGTTCTCTCCCAGTTTGGCATTCATGTCACCCATTAGAATGAATTTTGATGTCGCCAACTCGGGTGGAGTCTTGTCGAGTGTTGAATGTAGTTGTCTGCAGAATTCCTCCTTCTTCTCTTCATCTGCATTATTTGTAGGTGCACAGCGTAGCATTGTATGATTGTGACTTTCCTTCCTTTTGATTTGAACCTTGCTGTTATGATCCTGATGCTGGAGGTGATTGGTTCACAGTGGACGGGAGCCTTTGATGCTCTTGGGGGCATCATGACTCGAAAACTCAGTGTGCTCATGGTTGTCGTTTAGGTGTCAATATCGGAGTAGATTATTCACTCCTCTTCAGTCGACAGTTTGGAGAGTCCACTTCCATTCCATCTGCAGATTGCCTGTAGGTTCCTAGCACTTCCATGCAATACCTCTTCATCTCTTTTGCAATCTGGGTAGCCTTGCTAGTTTGAAACATGTTGCGGACATCGCACGTGCCCATGTTTACTTTTGCTTTCATTGAGGGGGAGAAGACACATCGGTCGACTGGCTTCCCAAAGTGTCTCACTAGCCGACGTCATTTCGTCACTCCGATTCCAGCGAGGAATAATTTTGTTTCTGTTTTTTATGTTTTGTTTGTGCTTTGAAGTTTGTTTAATGGTTGGATTGGTTTTATGGGGTAGGGTTGCTAGCCGTATGCCCAACTTTCCCTCTTTATTGGGACTTAGAAGCGGTTAGTAACTATTGGACTAGTTAACTAGGCGAGGTTTTTTCGTAATAATACTAGTATTCATTACGCTGACATGCGTTGAGTTGAAGATACCAACAAATGAGATTTATTTTATATTGGGGTGGTATTTATCTCAGGCTGGTATGAGTCAAAGAACAGTGGAAAACTTTATGGCATTGCGCAGGTGATTCTTCCCAGTCTGAAACTCCCTTGTAGTGAACACCCAACACTGTAACAGGGATCAGAATGATGCTCTACTCGAACACTTGTGGGCGTGTTAGAGTCTATGGTGAGATGTCCGGGGAGCTGTTTGCGTCCAGTGGTGTTCATGAAGTGTGCGCACTGTCTTCATTCCTATTCAGTTTTATCATAGATATTCTCATGGAGGCCTCCCTCTCGTCACCAGGTTACACTGACGCTGACCTAATCGCAGAAGAATTCTCATCAGACCTAGAATATGCAGATGATATATTCGTGATAGGTGGAGACGCTGAGAAGATGTAGAGTCTTCCAAACACTTTGAGTGGCAATCTGAGAATGTTTAAGATGGGTTTTTCACCATCCAAATGCTAATTTTTGCTCTAGGATTGGTCTTCAACAGTGTCACGGCTAACAATAGAGAGTGTAGTGATTGGGTGTGTTGACCATTTTACTCACCTGGGAAGTAGGATCAACCCTGACGGATCAGCGGCCGATGAATTCTCTGCACGGACACAAAAGGCTCGGTTGGCTTTTGTCAATTTACGCCACCTATGGCGCCGCCGTGGTATCCGATTGTCTATTAAGGGTCGCGCGCACTACACAGCAGTCTGCTCTGTTCTACTGTATGGCTGTGAAATATGGCCAGTGGAAGACATGAGAAGCTTCTTGAGTTTGACCACCGTTGCCTGCATAGTATAAGCCGTATTCCTTGGTGTCACCACGTGAGTAATGCAGAAGTCATGCTCAGGCGTAAAGTTTTAGGGAGTTGAAATAAATCAGTTGATGAGGTTATGAACTTTCATCGACCGAGATAGCTGGTTGAGACACGTGTTACATATGCTTGGTCACAGATTACATCATCACACAATGTTGGCCGAAGTAGGTCCAGGCTGGAAAAAGGCCCGAAGTGGACCGACTAAAACACGGCGTCAATGTGTGAAGTGTTTGACTGTTGGTTTGAGCCGTGTGGGGCTATGCAGACCAGGTGATTGGGGTCCGCGGGATAAGAGGAACCAGTGGTTGGAGACTCTAGGTGATATGGCTGGGAACCGATGTCAGTGGCGCAGATGTATGCATACATTATCCTCATCTTAACGGCGCTATACCGAATCTCACCACTTCGCCATTCTTCCTTTCTCTCTTTTCGTACTTTGGATTTCTTCAGACTGAGTTTTCTTATCTTCATCTTTCACCTCACTGCCTTTCTACTTGATATAGTGATATGAAGTGTGGCAACTCGGACCGTTACTCAGTAATGACTGGTCTTATGTTGATATTGATTGGTTGATTGATTCTTTGAGAGCTCACGAGATACATACTACCATTCAGTCAGCGGGATCGAATGAATCGGTCAACTATTTTGTACTTCTCTCCATTCTTGATATAACATGACCATCAGCCAGTTTCATTGGTAAGCATTTGTTCCGCATTTAGACTTGACTGACCCAACACACCTCAGAAAATCTGACTCGAAGCATGCCAATAGTGATTACTAGGCAGTAAGTCAGCTGGTTTGATAAGAGTTGGTTTTAAGCAGCTGTCCAAAGGTCTTGAACTTAGATTTCCTGAATAGTGATAATACTTATTAAGTTTTATCTGCAATCGAATGATAGAATTTAATGAGTACATAAGACTAAGTAACACGTCAGTCTTGAGTTATCAATAATTGTAAGCAATGTAAAGTGAAAACTGACTTCAGTGTTAACAAATATTGTTAGTTTGTTAACTTTCAAAAAAACTTTAGCTGGCAACTCTTATTTCACTGCAGATAATAAATTTCAACAAAAATATATTTATACTACGTGGTGATTGAAAGTGAAATGAAAATTTGAACCGCTTCAGGATTCAAACCAGAGACCACCAAGTTTCCAGCCCTGTAGTAGTTGGTTTGAGCCCTACCACGTTTCAAATTTTCATTTCATCTTTAATCATCATCCAGTATGAATACAAATCTGCCAAACCTTGGCTGTCTCACTCAGATAGTAAAAATGATAAGAAATATATTTCCCTGAAAGTTTCACCAAACTCTCATTATTTAAGTCTGAACCTCTTCTGCCTTAAAGCATATTTGTCACACTGGCTGTAGAATGGAAAATCTGGATCTCATAAGTATAATAACTGGCTTTTTAATATTTATTTTGAGAGCTATTCAACTTTTAAGTTATTTTACAGCATTAATTAATGTGTGGCTCAGTTCAAGAGGGTTTTTGGATCCTCCACTTGTCTCTGTATGATTTGTGGTTCCGAAATAAATGTATGTCAAGAGAAATCAGTTACTGTGCATTAACTGTTCCCTCTTCTATGTATAAAATCGGTTATTGTGTTTTTACGAATCCTAGTATGTTTTTAAACATGTAGTCCAGATGGTAAGTAATGGAGAGGGATTGTGAGCAATCAGACTTCGTTTTCTATTGCGCGCGGGTTGGGATGCGACACAAATTCAGTGACTTGACGCATGGGTCGATTGTGTGAATGAACGGTGGTAAATATGTTCAAAATTAAACAAGTGTGAGATCAGCGATAGAGTTGAATCAGAAAAATCTTATAATTAGGAAAGTTAACACTAAGCAGAGTCATAACAATACATCTGTAATACATGGTTGTTTAATACACATAACTTAGAAGCAGAATTCTTTTTCTTAACAGGGTTTTGGGAAGTGCTTTCTTTTAAGGCACATTCGACAAGTCGATGAATTAGTAGCAATTCATGATTCACAAGTATTCAGGGTACGTTTTTAAAGAGTTTGTGTCATGATGAGAACATATATATTCACTTGAATGAAACAATCTTACTGAAAGTGTTCTTTCAAAACCATTCAGTGTTTCACTTAATGGTTTGTGGGGAATGATTATGATTGATCCCAAGTAGGTATTCATCACAGAGTGACATCAGTTGGAGAACCATTGAAAACCTGGCGGCACTGGACCGCAGTGTTTCATTTTAGTATGGGACTCCTCAACAGTGTGCATCTATGATCTGGCGAGGGATTGATCACAGTCTCGTAGCCAGCACGTTGTCATCCAGCCACTGATTTGAAATTCAGTGGTATATATTTTTTTATGTCTTTCATTTGCAATATGGCTCCACCAACATTCAACACCATCAGCGAGTGTTCATCCTCATATCCAAACACACAACCACTTCTAACTTTAAGCGGATACTGAAAACTTTTTGCCTCGGTAAAGATCACTGAGATACATTCAGCGGTGTTAATCATAGTTAATGGAGAGACAATAAGAAATGGTAATCATATGAAGTAAATAAAATATAACTTTAGTTGGTTGGAGGCAATCGGCAGGAAGCCCTAGACCTAGGTTTCGTGCTTTTTGGCACTCGTCAGCAAGACGTGTCTCCAAACCTCGACGGAACTGATGTCCCGCCTGAGAATCGAACCCGTGTCACCCAGTGTTGTAGTCAGCTACTTTACCACTGAGCTATTCGCTGACTACAACACTGGGTGACACGGGTTCGATTCTCAGGCGGGACATCAGTTCCGTCGAGGTTTGGAGACACGTCTTGCTGACGAGTGCCAAAAAGCACGAAACCTAGGTCTAGGGCTTCCTGCCGATTGCCTCCAACCAAGTAACATCTACTAATGTGCACCGGGATGCTGAGCTTCCTAGCTTGGTTGCTACATTCTAAATATGATCGATAGAATTCGGTCTGCACTCAGGACTAGACAACATGAAATTGGTTTCACTCCCATGGCCAATCAATACAAAATACAACTTTCATTCAACAGTTAGTTTTCTCTTCAGTACTGAATATTCAGCTATCTAATGGGCTTCAAACAGGACAAAAATTTGGTCGTATTAACTCAGTGTGACTCGATAATGAATAAATTTTATCATTCAAAAATAAACAATTTATCTGTGAGTTGATAAACGAGAATGGGTCACGTGCCATTCTTTTAGTGTTTACTTTGTACTTTTCAAGCGCATAACTTGAGTGTAGCGATTTGTATAAATAACAACAAAAAAAAGCAACGAACTTGTCCAAAAACTCAACTCATTAGATTAAATGAGGAATAGATAAGTAAATTGTGATTAGGAGATTTATCTCATCGGTATACGTACATGAATTCCAACCATTCAGTCACAAGCTTGAACCTAGCTTCATCTACTGAGTTTTCGGTAGCCAGGTAGTGTCAGTTAGCCTCACACAATAGGCATGGCTTATTGCATACTGTACACATGTGGATAGAGTAGCTTAATGAGCTTAAAATATTGATCGGATGTATTCAGAATAGATTTCCTATCCACTTGCCATTTAAGATTTTCCCTTTTTTGCACTGAAAACAAATATTATATTATCCACCTGTTGATTGATCTGTTTCAGTAACTCATTCCAATTCACTGGGATGGATCAGCCCGTGTAGAATATCAATGATCAAGCAGACTGTGAATACTGAAACTGAGAAGTCATATCGATGGGTACGCAGTTTAGTAGTGTACAATGAAGTAGACAAGATATTTGTTTGCTTCCACCGATTTCTTGGGTGAGTTGACCATTGTATTTTTTGAGATCATTCATTTGAGTTCAACTTGTTTCTCATATTCTTTTCAGTTTATAAAAGTTATAAAACTGAATCTTTTTGACAAATTTAATTATAACTCTTGTCATTAGCTAAAATAAGAAAGATACTTAGTATCATTGAAGGTAAAAGGGTATTAGATAGTGGATTGGCAAAGTTGACAAAGTGAACAGTTTAAATCTGGTTCAATATAAAAACTTTATTTTTATACTTGGACGTCTAACAGTTCTATTGCAGTTAAACGAAATGTGATAGTGTAGTGGGCGTTGCTGATAACAATGGATATAAGTAGTATATGTTGAGAAAGTGGCAGGAATCATAGGGAATTATAGGCAATCGGTAAGGTTTCTGCCAACAGCAACGCAAGGACTAACGTAAGTGTATTACGGTGGAGGCTGCTGATAAGAATGTTTGAAGAGCAGATCAAGAGCAAATCAAGAGAGGAACGAAGCACACTTGCAAATGACTGGGTTAGTGTAAGGTGCACCATATGTAATCACTACCGTTCCAATTTTCAACTGCGTGCATTCCCTCGTATCTACCTGCTGTCTCTCCAGTGGCTTCTCTTTACTTTCAAATGTTTCTAGTAGTCTACCAAAGAAGGCTGTCTAGCGACAAGCATAGGAGTTGAAACTTGGATAGTATATCTGATGCGTATTTTATAACTTTGCTCTATCATATGTATATTTTAATCCTCACCTTGTAAATACCTTTTAGTGACCATGAGAAAGGTAGAAATACCTGCAACATCAGCTTACATAAGGTACAAGGGTATGCGGAACATATTTTCCCAGGATGAAGTCGAACGGAGTCACCTTTTCGAGAAGTACTTGCACAAAAAATCAGTCTAAAAGTGTCTAAATATAGAAGTTTAGAATCGAGTGGGATAGAAAGAATGACGCTTGAAATAAACAAAGCAAGTTGAATAATAAGGATAAAAAGTCATATCTGTTCACAGATAGACTGTGCACATGTTTGGTGGTAGCTAGAAGACTCGTAGCATAATATTCAAATGATAAAGTGACTCCATCACTCAATAGTACAAAAAAAAAAATGGGAATATTGGTTTGTTGCAGGAGTTTGGCTGGAAGTCATTCACCTGGGCACCGTATCACCCAGTGATGCAGTAGGAACTGTTACCGTTGATCTTTTGAGACCAACACTTATCAGTTTCATTTTGCTTATTTTGTAGTGTGGCCACCAAGTTAGAAGACTCAACAGGAATAGTGAATGTCATTATAATATAGGATTCCTATATAATATAGAATATAGGAATCACCTCTAAAGTCTGCAATGTTTCACTGAGAAGGTTATGATAGTGATTATGACTAGGTAAATGGTGTAGTGAAAGGACAGGATAAATAATTACGTAGCTTTATCATTTCAGTACAAGTACAAGTTTCAGTAATATTCAGATAGTAATTCGTTTTAATTTAGAACTTTAAATTTTCGTTTTTTAACATTTTTGAATCCAACTGATTAATTTCTGTTGACATTTGGGTTATTTCTTTGGATGTCTTGATATTACCATTAGTTTTTAGAACAAAGGTATTCGTTTTATGGCGGTCATTAACGAGACACCTGATTCGACTCGGCAGCTTGATGCATAACATTTTTGTGCTTAGGGCTAAAACCACTGAGTTCGATTCCCATGTGTGAAATTAGCATGGATGCAGATATATCCATTTGATAGATTTCTTCACCTGGATATAGTTTTTGGTTATCATCAAACAGATAAGGTTAGTGATTTTAATGAGATTAACATTCAACGAGTTTCGAGTATTCTGGCTTATCAGTTATACGTGATAACGAAGGTTTAGCTTTTGTCAACTGAATACTTTCGACTGATTATATGATACAGTACGGAATTTCTTGTTACATCCATTGTATAAATGTACATGAGAACAAAGGATGATCTGTCGAATTCTGTAGAAAAAGGGGATACTTTCCCATCCATCTCTTTGTTTATTAGTTAACTCAATTATAACAAGGATAAGATATAAATGTATAGTGCGCTGTAGATCAGTCAAGGTATATGAAAGCAAGTGCATTTCATCTTATCTTGAACTGTTTTCAATTTAATATACCGGTATACTTATAGGTTAGGTTGTTCCTGATAAATGTGGTGTCAAAAAGGTTTGAGTTGGAAACCGCCCATCTGGGCAGTTGAAAAACTACTTAGCTGCGAGCAAAATGTCAACGTGGACTGTGAAATTTATAAATCATTCGCAAATTGATCATCCTATTTTAGGTATATCGGTTCAAGCAAGTCAACTAGTCAGATTTAGGTTAATTTCAGGAATTAGTTTAGTTCTCCGAGCACACCGCTTGTGAACTTGGCCATGAAATAGTGAGACAGCTATCCAGTGTTTATATCATGCTGATCCAGTTAGGGGAATCTATGTATAGGTTTGAGTGGTTCTCAAAAGAAGTATAATGGAAGTATATTCTACCACAGTGCCTAAAATCTACTCTTACCTTATTGACAGAGTTGTGTTTACATCAAATAGTCACTGGAGAGTTACCAGTTTCACACTGAGCTCTGACAACACTGTCGGTGGTTTTGGAGTATGACCATCAAAATGGAAGACTTGGATAGATGCTAGTTGATTGGAGGCAATCGGCTGAATGCCCCAATCTAAACTTCGCACTTGTTGGCACTAGTCGGTGAGGTGTATCTGAGACTTCGTGGGGAGTGATACTCAGTCTGAGATTTAACTTACCAGTATATATGAGATTAGATTGTGCATGATCTCAATGTATATTTACGTAAAACTGCTGCTTATCTTTTTATTCAGATTATGCGAATCATGCACATATGCAGTTAGTCTTAATCAGGAATTACTATGCACAAATCTAGAAAACTCATTTATACAATTCCAGTCAGATTTGAACACTGATGACCACACTACAATCGAACTATCTCAAGGGGTCATGGATCCACTAACCTGTAACACATCATATGAAAATTCAACCAATTTTCATTACCGGCCTAGAAATAAACAACTTCGTGTGTCTAATTCATCAATTAGTTCACTTCGGGTAAGATCTTGTACAATGAATAAAAAGTCTGTGTCTATGTCGACTAACAGAGTTGATCATTGTAAAACGATTAAATCCATTCCTATTCAATCTATCCCACCTTTGAAACAACGATTTCCAAAAGGATATGGTCAAATTATTTATCGAGATAATCAAATCAAAACAATTACATCACCCTTTTGTAATAATAGTAGTATTAATATGCCTAATTTACCGCAGTTGGACAATAATTTATACAATGGGAAAACCAATAATAATCATGGAAATCCTGTGTTGAATAGTTCAGCAGTAAAATATTCACTTCATTTCGATTTACCATCTGCACCATATTGTGTACGATCCGTAATACCGGTGATTGGTTATAAATCCCTACCATCAAAACAGATACTTTTCTTCTCGCCCACCTCATCTACTTCGCCATCACTATCAACATCCATAGTGCAACATACAGTGAAGAAATCACAATCCCTTATACCTCTCATCTCATCCAGGTGTAAATCTTGCAGTAATGAAAACAGTGGCAAACACATTGATAATCAAGCAATTTATTACCAAACTATAATAACTAGTACAAACTGTAATAATAGCTTCTCACATTCATGCATGAAAAACCATTACACTAAAAAAGTAAGTAATATATTTTTTCACTTTTATCTCTAAGGCAAGTAAAATACACATACAAACACACAGCTTCTCATATTTCGTAGTAACAGACAAATGGGATACGGCAATCCTTCTTACTTTTCAAATTGGCCACTTATTTATTCTATGAGACGATTAAAAAGCACTCATTGACTCAGTGTAGTACAAACACTTGATGTATCATACGCTTTTCATTGGACTAAGGAACTTGCAATATTTATCGTCAATTTTAAAGACATTTGAAACATGATCTGTTGATGTCTGCTATCTAAATATTTCCGACACTTGGTCCATTTTCCATATTAGATTTGTCTATTTGATTTATAACACACAGTAATCTAGTATTATTTACTTGATGACGTTTCGAGCATCAATTATCACCGCTCATAATCATATCAATGTAATCACACCACTTACAACCTTTGATTTTTATAATTTTATCACTTTATATGAGTTGATTTATAGGTAGCAAAATCTTCCATATCTCTGGTAAGGGTGTTGCGTCATTTCTATTACATGTGTTGGGTGTTGATTGATTCGGTGAACAAAGATTCAATAATCAATCTCTCTCTCTCCCTCCACCTAAATATATTGGACTTAAGTATACAGGTTTTATCCCACCTTATTGTGTGGTTGTGTGTTAATGCATGCAATGCAATAGCCGAGTTTGTTTTTTACAGATTATTGATCTTATTCGGGTCTGTTATTCTACATTTAGCTAAATTCCTATGTTCAGCTATTCTAACTGATCCCGACCGACTAGTTTGAGCTATGTACTTAACCTCACAGTCACTACATGAAATTTGATAAATTAGATTATTTTGCCTAATTGGTTCTATCGGATCCTTAAGCCAGCCGACAAAGTTTATCTCTGAGTGAGTTTGTAGGTTTAAACAAATCTAATATAGAATTAAGATTTAAAAAATTCAACTCTGTGAGGTAAACCACTCCAGTGACACTATTGATTAGATTAGTTCCAAAAGACTGAAACGGCCTTCTGGTGTACAGACAGATATTACTTTGAACGCGTTACTGATTGGTCTGAAGGTCTATTTATGCTGAAATACTTTATCGGTGTGCATTATAGTCTACTTATAGAATAGAAAATATAGCATAAATATTTATTCATTTTTTTTGTAACGCATGTCACTGGGCAAATTTTAAATATTTCGCTTTTATGCTCTGATTTTTTTTAAAAACATTAACAGATCTTCATTACTAAAAGCAATGAATTAAAGAATTCATCTGAAACGACTAGCAAGTATACAAGTAACGATCATTGGAAATCTAGTGATAATTGTTCAATATCCGCAGATAACTCCTTGCGCTCACCTTTTTATTCGGAATATTCACAAGATTCAAGAAGTACTTCCGACTGTGTCAGCCAGAATGAAGAAATTTTTACAGATTTTGGTGGAGATATACAAATGGAAGCAACTGTCAGTGAACTGTTGGCATCGATTCCATCACCATGTAAATTACCAACTGAAGATGACAGAATAATGCAGATTGATTTAAGTTCTAGCCTATATGACCCTGATATTCTACAGTATGATGAGTTAAGTATACATTCATTGCAAGATTCAAACGTAGAAGTTGAAGAATCCCCTGGATTTCAACCAGATCTATTCAATGACTCAATTATTTCCAACAGTCAACAAGTGTAACTAATAATTATTAACATAAGTGTAGGTTTTGGATAAATATTCACTTGTTTTTTGTAATCCTAAACCCTATATACCAGGTACTGACGAATGACTTCTTTGATTTATATAGAATTCACTACCAAAAATAATAGTTCCCTAGTCAACAAGACATAGTTTGACAAGTATTGTATCAAAACTGTAGAAATTCTTATTGTTGGAGTGTTTGTTTTTTTGCAATGTTGTCTTAGATACATTAGCTGATTAGCAGTTGTCAGCATGCAACTAAATGTTACATGTGTATGTATTACTACTCACTACAGTCAAACGTGGATTACAATTTTTTAGGCTGGCAGTGAAATCTGTGGAGATAGTATCACCTCATTCGGTACTCTTTGAGTGCAGATAAATATATTTTTATTGAATTTAAATGTTCCCCGTCAGTATCAGTAAAACCTGACTGTAAGGCAACAAGAAATGAATTTTATGATGCAGTATCATATTGAATGAAGAAGCCATATGCCAAGTAATTCACAATGGGAAGCTCAGTGATGCCTTTGAAGTGAAGACAGGAAGGAGTAAGACGAGGCTGTCCACTATCACCGACGGTCTTCTTGATTGTGGTCTACTGAATCATGCAGCAAACAGTGAGGAGTGAGAAGAGGGGGATACGCTGGCTGGACCGGGAAAAGACCCTAGAAGATTTAGATTTCGCCGGTGACATGTGTCTAGTGTCTTGTGGCACAAGCTCGAAGATCTACAGGCGAAAACCAACAAGTTGACAGAAGAGGCTAGGCAGCGAAGACGGGACTTCCTTCAGGTGAACGTAGAGAAGACAGAGGTGATGAAGATACCCAACCAACAACAACAAGAAGCTCGAATCACCATCAACGGCAGAAACTTAAAGGAAGTAGCCTCTTTCACCTATCTAGGCAGGGCAACATCGTTTCAACTACAGGTAGTGGCACAGGCACAGACCAGGATGTCAAAGCCAGTCAGGATCGGAAGGACAGCAAGACAGGCGTTCATTAACCTGAAACCAGTGTGGAAATCTTCTGCACTCAGCATAAAGCGTGAACAAGATCCGGATTTCCAACACCAATACCAGTCAAGTCAGTGCTTCTATATGGTTCAGAGACTGGGCGCATTACGAAAGGGATTACCAACAAACTACAGACATTCATCAACAACTGCCTACGCTGACTCGATACTGAAGCTCAGATGGCGAGAAAGAATAAGCAACAAGGAACTCTGACTGGCTGGCAACGAACCAACGAAGCGAGAACGTATCGCTCAACAAGTATGCAGAAGGAAGTGGAGATGGATTGGATTGGGCATGCACTGAGAAGACCATTCGGGGACATCACGTTCCAGGCCAGGCACTCGAGTGGAAACTAGATGGGAAGCGGCGAGTTGGGCGTCGGAGGCGAGGGTGACATGGAGGAGATGGTGTGAGGAAGAAATGAGAGCTTGTGGGCAGTCGTGGAGCCAGGTTGAAAAGACTGCAGAGAACAGAGTGGAATGGAGACGTGCTACTGAAGCCGTATGTTCCACTAGGAACCCAATGGATAAATAATAATAATAATAATAATGCCTAACAAAGAAAATGAAATTATTGATTATATTTTGACTCTTTGGCCTAGTGAACAAAGCTTTGGTGTTTGAAGCAAACAATCCCATGTTCGAGTTTTGGTGGAAACAATCGCTTACTACTAGGTGGCGGGCATGTTCAGCTGATGAGTCCTAAATCGGACGAAATGCACATTGTGGATTCCGCCGCTAGCCACTATAAATTATTAGCAAAAAAGCAAACTGTTTATATATCATTATTCTATGAGTCGCGGTTATTTTATTTTAATGCATTATTACATATTGAAGTGAATATTGGACAAATATGAATCAGGATAAGTATTGACTTACTTGTTTGCTTGACTGTTCAGTTTGCATTATCCACTTAGATGTCAGCTAAATATTCTGATTCTGAGAAAATCGGAACACTTTATCCAGGTATACCTGATTATCTTTAGGTGAATCATATTACTTAGTTTTACTACTTTGAAAGCTGTTACCTCTAAGCACGCCGTTGTGACAGTCTGAAGAGGGGAATGTTTGGTCGTAACATTGGGTATTTGGTTACATGATTTGATGACAGTGGTTAAAGTGTTTTACTACTCCAAGTATAATAAAAGCCAGTGGCCTTATTAAACACGGGTTCAACGAAAAGCTTTACAATTTTGTGTAAATATTAGTTATTTAAAATGCAATCCAATCACTGAATGAATGCACGGGTCAGTTAGCTTTGAACAGGTGTCATAAACAAGCCATATGGCAACTGTACAACAGATAGTGTCAATGTATTCCTTAAGTTATCGATCAATATCACTGTCTACCATAAAATAAAACTCAAGACTGATATGATTTAAAAGGTTGTTTCTTTTTGAAAAACATGAGTGCTATCCGTAGCTAATCCTTGTGCTTACAGAGCTTATTACAAATAGACAGACAGACAGAATCATCGTAGAATTTCACACATAGGTGCATCGGCTCAAGTTGCCACACTTCACATTAGTACACAAACAGGTGGATACAAAGAGTAATATCAAAGAGAAAAAACTTATGTGAGAGTATAGAAAAACTGAAAATTGAGGTTACTGCAAATATTTTAGCTTTAGAAGATGTTACGGAGTGAATATATCTGAGCCATTGTGACTGATTCTTGTAAATATCACCAAGAGTTGTAAACCACTGAATATCATCGTCTTAAGAACTACAGGCAGGCAGTTTGAATCACCGCATACGGGTCAGACCATCAGAAATAGATTTCATCCAGTGGTGCCACTACTGGTCTAGTCTAGGCACTCTGAAAACTCTTCCAACTTGATCCAACTTCTCTTAGTATGCCACGTCGAGTAAGGCTGTGAGTTAGCATAGGTATGTTCAAGCTATCTAAATCGACTATGGTTTAAAATCTCAACGATTCACTTGCCCAGTACCCTTCCGCTGACTTCAACACTGCTCGGACGCTGATTCCAACAAACGCGAACAACGCAACGAAGAAATCTATGATCACAACCCTGTAATCGCTGAATAACTTCTACTTTTAACGGTTATGTCCCGGGGAATATTATCATTAGTGTCCCTTGGGTTCCTAGTGGAACATACGGCTTCAGTAGCACGTCTCCATTCCACTCTGTTCTCTGCAGTCTTTTCAACCTGGCTCCACGACTGCCCACAAGCTCTCATTTCTTCCTCACACCATCTCCTCCATGTCACCCTCGCCTCCGACGCCCAACTCGCCGCTTCCCATCTAGTTTCCACTCGAGTGCCTGGCCTGGAACGTGATGTCCCCGAATGGTCTTCTCAGTGCATGCCCAATCCAATCCATCTCCACTTCCTTCTGCATACTTGTTGAGCGATACGTTCTCGCTTCGTTGGTTCGTTGCCAGCCAGTCAGAGTTCCTTGTTGCTTATTCTTTCTCGCCATCTGAGCTTCAGTATCGAGTCAGCGTAGGCAGTTGTTGATGAATGTCTGTAGTTTGTTGGTAATCCCTTTCGTAATGCGCCCAGTCTCTGAACCATATAGAAGCACTGACTTGACTGGTATTGGTGTTGGAAATCCGGATCTTGTTCACGCTTTATGCTGAGTGCAGAAGATTTCCACACTGGTTTCAGGTTAATGAACGCCTGTCTTGCTGTCCTTCCGATCCTGACTGGCTTTGACATCCTGGTCTGTGCCTGTGCCACTACCTGTAGTTGAAACGATGTTGCCCTGCCTAGATAGGTGAAAGAGGCTACTTCCTTTAAGTTTCTGCCGTTGATGGTGATTCGAGCTTCTTGTTGTTGTTGGTTGGGTATCTTCATCACCTCTGTCTTCTCTACGTTCACCTGAAGGAAGTCCCGTCTTCGCTGCCTAGCCTCTTCTATGAAATATCTATCGAGTGCCGAAAGTGTTGTAAGTTAACAAAAGTGAACCAAACTTTTTGTATCCATGCCGACATTTCGTCGGTCACTGACCCACAATGATTGATCCAATTAAATAAGTAAGTGAAGTAACCAGGCCAGTCAGTAATCAATTCATTCCCTCCTATAACAATGTCCTGAAGTAAGCATTTACATCTAAGAGGTGAGAAATACATGTCAAATATTTGAAAATTGTCAATGAATGTATGCAGAAAACTATGCATTTGGTCAGAATCTTTACATTCTATGACTATCATTTCTATACATGGTAAATTCAATCACATGTGAGGATGTTAGTCTATGCAAAGTTGAGATAAAGACCTCAACAAGCACTTTATTGGCAAATGTTACTGTATCTAATCCACTTCAAACTATCCTGGCTTTTTTAAACAATGATAAAATATATAAAGCAGATATCATACGCATTTATTGTTAACAAGTTTGTACGTATTCTAACATTTATGGCATTCTAGACTGGATGGTTTGGAAAAACGAGCACCGAGTTAGGATGGTTCATTGCATAATGTGTATTTTTACTTATGTAATCCCCGGGTAGTATATTAGAACAAATAACAGGCTGGAAAAAGGCCCGAGGTGGACCGACTAAAACACGGCGTCAATGTGTGAAGTGTTTGACTGTTGGTTTGAGCCGTGTGGGGCTATGCAGACCAGGTGATTGGGGTCCGCGGGATAAGAGGAACCAGTGGTTGGAGACTCTAGGTGATATGGCTGGGAACCGATGTCAGTGGCGCAGATGTATGCATACATTATCCTCATCTTAACGGCGCTATACCGAATCTCACCACTTCGCCATTCTTCCTTTCTCTCTTTTCGTACTTTGGATTTCTTCAGACTGAGTTTTCTTATCTTCATCTTTCACCTCACTGCCTTTCTACTTGATATAGTGATATGAAGTGTGGCAACTCGGACCGTTACTCAGTAATGACTGGTCTTATGTTGATATTGATGATGATGAACAACATAATTAGAAATCTTATATCATTTTTCAACGTTTCAATCTTGCTAGGAAGATCTTTTTCAGAAGTATGAATTTCACATTAATTTTTCAGGTTAAGATTCAAGTT